CAGCCGCTCCCGAGACCCTCCCAGCAGCCCCAGCTCCTCCGGGCCTGCCTGGCGGGGACGCTGCTCCTCCGACTTCACCAGGAGCCCGTCGCCTGCCGGAAGAAAGAAAGAGAAGCTCATGCCTGGCTCTTTGGGAGGGGGGAAAGGCCCCGATCCGCAGCATGGTCCCACGGAGCCGAGGGTCTCAGTGGCCTGGGCTAGGCTGAACCTGGGCGGCCCTCTCTGGAAACCGGCGGAGAGAAGGGTTTGAGCTCTGGCGGGAACATCCAGGTGTTTGCAGAAGGCCAGCCCCAGCCCCGGGAGAGAGGGACGGGGTCCCCCAAGCTTGCGCATCATTTCTGTCCCACTGCCCCACCCCTCTCGCAGGCCTCAGGGTGCATTTCATCCGGCGAGAACAGTCACCGCCACCCAAAGTTCGCGCTGGTCCCCGCCACGTAGGAAATGGGTCCTCATGGGGCACCCCCCCTCTTTGTTTGAACGTGGCGCAACAACCGTCTCCCCTCCGAGCACCACTCCCAACTGAGGAGCTCAAAAAAACTCCACAAACATTAACCCCTTCGCCTCCGGCTAGAGGAGCGAGCGCTCCCTACTGGCCTGACCGCCTCTGGACAGCCCAGGAGAGCTGGCTCCTGGCTCCCCATACCGACAGCGTGCTCCCTCCCGCCCTGCTGCCAGGAGAGGCCGAGAACCCCGGTGTTCCAACCCCTTCTCTGAGGGCATCATTTGTCCCAATTCTACGCTACTCTAGGCTGGTCCTCAGTGCCGCAGTATCGGAGCATCTTCCAGGCGCGCTGCAAGCGCCGTGACGGCATCCGTCACGTGGCACGCGGACGGGGGCGCGGTAGCTTGGGAAGAGACGGTGTGTGGCAAGCTGCCGTTCTAGGCATGTTCCTAAGACAGTCGTCAAACAAGCAGGAGACCTGGGTTACGTTCCCAGCTCTCTCAAAGCTGCCTGGCAGGACCTCAGCCATGGCACTTCGTCTCTCTGCGGCTCTGTTAAGAACAGCCAGACCGGGTCAGACCAAAGGGCCATCTAGCCCAAGATCTTGTCTTCCAACAGTGGCCAATGACAGAATGCACAGATCAGCTTGTCTTCCAACAGTAGCCAATGCCAGAATGCACAGATCAGGTAATCACCATGTGATCCAACCCGTCACCCATTCCCAGCTTCTGACAAACAGGTGAGGAACACCATCCTTGCCCATCCTGGCTAAGAGCCATTGATGGACCTATTCTCCATGAATGTATCTAGTTCCTTTTTCAACCGTTCTCTTCCTCATCTGTACAGTGGGGATTTTCTCTGCCTGGTTTATTTAGCTCGTGAGCTGTTGCAGCAGGGCTGCCTTTCACTAGGTGGCCATGCAGCACCCGGCACAATCTCATCTAGAGACTGTAGGGCCCGTGGTTCCCAAACTTTTCGGCATCATGCCCCCGTTTTGATTTTTGACAAACCCTCACTCCCCCTTCTCCCAAAATAGCAGCAGAACTTGTTGAACAAACAAAAAAAAGGAACTGACCGGGGCCAAAAAACAAAAATAGCAGCAAAACTTAAGGAAAAAAAAAAAAAAAGGTTGCCCTTTTAAGAGCAGAGCAGGCATTGCCCTTTTAGGGCAGCCATTCTGAAGTCTTCCCGGGATGCTCCATCCTCTCCCCGCCCCAGCCAGCCCGAGCTGTGCGTGTTCCAGCGGATGCCCGAGCCAGAAAAAACAGAAAATACTGGACATTTCACATGGTATTTTCTGAATTTTTTTACTGGACAGATCGGGCTTTTTCTTGGAGACGGGAGAAGGAGTTTGATGGGGAGTGCCTGTGTCGCCTTGCATCTCCCCCACCCCCAGTTTGGGAACCTATGCTCTAAGCGCTACTGATACCCAAAGGAACCATCATCATTGGAGACCCCAATCCAGACACGCAGCTGAGAAAAACACACACAAAGTATTTTCTCAGCTGAGCACATTCAAGTCATAGGCTAAAGGCAAAACTTCACAGCTAGGTGAATGTTCCTAGCTGGTAGCAGCCGCCGCCCAGAGTCTGGTCACATGTGGAGTTGAACAGGTGCAGGGAGGTGGGGAAACACAACCATGAGACTCCAAGGTCTCTGGCCAGGTGCAGGATGCAGAAGTATTTTGCACTGTTTCAGAACAGGGGCTGTTCCAGGTGGCGGAAGTGGAAATGAAAAAGCCGTTAATTGCTTCTCAACAGCGACAGTCACTGGGGTTCTAACCACCTGGGACCACGCACTGGACCATCCTGCCCAGAGACCAAACAATGGGTGAAGTTCACTGCTAGGCCTCGTGCAGTCACTCAGCGCAGAGAACGGCTTTACCCGCTGTTACCTGGGTAGCTCTGGGCCATCTAGGCCGGTCCATGGGAAAGGAAGGCAACATCCCCTTCTATAGGAGACTAAGGCCTTGTCCGCCTTACAGGGCATCCCCGCCGTAAGTCACCCCAATCTACATCCGTTCCACACTAAAGTCACTGACGCTTGTAAGGACCGATGTGTTATAAGTCCTCCCATTCCCCGCTGTTAAGTCAGGCAAAAAACCCCAAACCTCAAACCAATTTGCACAAATGGAAGTCCGCTGCGGGGAAAAAAAATTCCCCGCTTAAGTTGTTTCTCTATAAGTCCAAGTTTTAGGGAGTGTATCTTGAACTTATACCGAGGCCGGCCTGTAGACCAGAAGAGACCGTTGTGAGCATCGAGTTTGACCTCCTGTATCAGAGACCTGCCCTCAAATTATCCCCAAAGCTGATTTTTCTCAAACAACATCCAATCTTGACTTTCAAATAGTTAGGAATGGAGAACCCACCACGACCCACGGCAAAACACTCCTCTGGGAAACGACTCGCTGTTAAAAAACTGCATCTAACGGCCAGTCTCAATTTGTCTGGCTGCAGCATCCTGCTGCTGGGTCGCTTTAGACCTTTCGCTGCTCGTCTGAACACGTTCCCCAGGTAGATACAGTAAAACTCCAATAGTCCGGCATCCAATAGTCCGGCACTCGTGATAGTCCAGCATCAAAATGGCAAGAGCCTAGTGAGTGAGCTTCAGCAAAAAATGAGTCACAAGGTAACAGCGGCAGCAGCTGAACTGAGCAAAAAAGGTAAAAAAGGCTTAAAAAAACTAAAATATTACAGTATACTATATACAGTATGTACAATAAAAAAGGTTAAGAACACTTTATATACAGTATATAATGTATACAGTATATATATAACCAGCTTATAGTACCTCCTGATAGTCCGGCTATCTGATAATCCGGCACCACCTAGGTCCCATAGGTTCCGGATTATCGGAAGTCTACTGTACTTCCAGACTGTGACCAAGTCACCCCTTTCCTGTCTCTTTGGCGAGCTAAAACACACTGAGCTCCTTGCGTCTGTCACTGTCCTAGAAAAGGGCCCCTGGACGGCTCTACTAGCAAACCCGCTCCCTGGAGATGCAGCTTAGCACTTGTGCCAGGAGGGCTGATACCAGGTCCCCAGATGAAACGGGCAATCACAGCACTGAGACTTGGATCCACACTGGGGCGTTGGATGGCACAACTCTGTGGGGCGCGGGTTAGGGTTTGTCATACTTCTCGTTAGACAAAGTATTGTCATACTTCTCGTTAACACAGCTATGCGATACATTCAAGGGAAGACGCCGTGAAAGGCTGTGTGAGCTTCAGGGAAGACGCCGTGAAAGGCTGTGTGAGCTAAGGAAAAGCTGCCCACCAGGCAGCATCTGCAGCAATCACTCGGCGCGAGATTCTTTGGCCAGTGATGTACACGAGATCAGAGCACATGATCACCCTTAAAACTGACAAAGTGGCGTCTGCCACGAAGACAAAACAAACTTCCTTCCCAACCGCAGGTGAGTTCCCAAAGGGCAGCTGGACTGCCGACGCCTAAGATTTGGTCACTGGTTCTGGCTTCTTTTAAGCCACTGCTCACCTGGGCCTGGGCCGGTGAGCATTTCTCTTTCAGCCAACTCCCACGGCTCCCGGACACAGGGCTCTTCCTCTTGTTTAATCCAGGATAAAAAGTCATGGGCAGAAATCAAAGCGTCGGCTCCTGAGGGAGAAAACGAAGACATGGTGTTTTCTACTATCTAGAGCCCTGCAAATCTGTGGCTCCTTTTTTTCGGATGCGGATACAAATTCTTGTACCTGCACATGGCTCTATTAATGTCCACGGAACCCTCCGCTCTCAAGCTGATGGCCAATCTCTGTGCTGAGGTGGAGGAGCCAGGAAGGCTGCAAGTAAGTGCATGAGGCAACTGAGGTCTACACGGTGCCGTGGGGTCAAAATGTGCACAAGAGGAGGGATTAGAAGCAGACAGAGGAAATGGAGGCCTCCCCCAAGCTTCAAAATCAGAGGCCGCTAAATTTAGGCCTCAAGTGACTTGCCCAAGGATGTATAACAAGCCAGTGGCAGGGCCAGATCCATGAAATGGGCAGAGCAATGTTACAGAGTTCGCCACGGCAGCCTCGCTCACTTTCCAGCTTCGCTCACCTGCACAGGGGTCCACGGGGATTCCCCTCTCCTCCGAGAACTGATGCTCCCCGACAAAAGGCCCCTCCTCCTGTTTGATCCGGGAGAGAATGTCGGGCGTTGACATCAGGGATTCTGTGTGACAGAGAGAGAGAGAGAGATGTTTGTGTACCAGGCTCTGAACCCTTCACCGCCCGTCCCAAAGCAATGCCATGTCCGCATGACGGAGGGGGCCTGTTCTGAGTAGACACGAACATGTGAGGAGCCTTGGCTGAGGGGCAAACCCGTGTTATCTCACTAGACGTGGAAGTGACGCGCCAGGGTAATTCCCCCGCTTGGAATGTCCAACCCACCCCCGTTCACGAGGCCAGCTCTCTCCATCGCCAAGCCCCCTCCGAGTCGGTTTCCTCTGCAGTCACACACATACACACACACTCAGCTGACTTGGGCTAGGGCTCAGGCTCCGTGGGTCCCAGAGCCCAGCTGCAACCCAAGCCCAAACGAATACACAACCGTGTTATAGCCTTGCAGCCCACGTCGGCCAACGGAGTTTTACTGCATTATAGACATATCCTAAAAGTCCCCTTTCCGCAGCATGCCTCCTAATAAGTGACCCAATATGAACTGAATACAGTGCAGGTCTGGTTTCCCCATCTCCAAAAAGGTATTAGAAGTGGAAAAAGGACAGAGAAGGGCAACAAAATTAAGAAGGGTAATGGAACAGCTCCTACATGAGGAGACTAAAAACACTGGGGCTCTTCAGCTTAGACTACGTCTTCACTTGCTGCACTGGAGATCGATCTTCTAGTGTTCTATTTAGTGGGTCTAGATAAGACCCACTAAATCAAACGTTGAGGGCGGCTCCGATCGGTGCCGGTACTCCTCACAGTCACTAGGAGTAAGAGAGTCGGCCTCCCGCTGTGAAGACTGTGCCAAGCTCAGCTTACGGCAAGCTGACTGTAGCTGCATATTTTACGCAGCTGAAGTTGCATAGACCTGGCCTTACAAAAGATGACTAAGAGGGAGTGGGGTGGGTATGACAGAGGTGAAGACCATGAAACGAAGGAGGAAGTGTTCTTTACCCCTTCACGTAACACAAGAATCAGGAGTCACCCACAGCAATTAATAGGCAGTTGGGCCTGTCCTCACACAACGTACAGTCAACCGGTGGGATTCACTGCCAGAGAAGGTTGTAAAGGCCAAAGCTATAATAGGCCCTCCCCGTACCTCCCAAAAAACAAAAGTGCAGCTGGTGGTGGCACTCCAGCCCTGTGGTGAGTCTCTGAGCCTCAGCATTCTCCATGGGGCTGGAGAGCAAGTGTTGGCTCTGCACGACAGGGGGAAGCCCCAAGACTCACAGGCCAGATCAAGGCAAGCCGTGGGCTGGATCAGCTCTGCCTGGTGGGGGGAGGAAGCAGCACTGCATGCTGCTCCCCCTCCCCATTAGGGAAACAGCAGCGCAGGGAAGCTCTGTCCCTGTGCCAACCTGCAGGCTCCACCCCCGTCACGCCCATTGGCCAGGAATCGTGGCCAATGGGAGCAGCGGAGGGAAGGGAGCTTGCAAGCATGGGGCAGTACAGCGCCACCTGTGCCCCTCCCCAGGAGCTGCACCAAGCACCCCAATCCCCTGTCCCCCCACTCAGACCCTGGCACTCCCATCCCTATTCCGTTCACTGGCAGCCCTGTCCCCTACACTTAACCCCTCATTTTTGGCTCCACCCTAGAGCCTAGGGGGGCCCACAAAATCGACTAGTCCCAGGCCCCCAGAAGAGTTAACTTGGCCCTGGGGGAAACCCTGAGTCTCAGCACCTCCTCTCCCCTCTTCCCCACCGTGGGGCAGGAGCATGCGAGGAGGCAGGTGTATTTTTTTTCTACTTCTCACTTAGAGGCCAGGTCAGTGAGGGTTGTTTTGTTTCTTGCTTCTCACTTGTGTGCGACCCCGACAAGTTAATCTGTGGGGCTGCAACCCACAAAAAGTTCCCCACCCCTGCCCTAAGCCTTTCACTGCCAGAAACTGGGTCTGGACTACACGGGATGGATCACCCGATGGTTACCCTGTTCTGGTCATTCCACTGGAGCATCTGACACCGGCCACTGTCAGAAAACGGGATACCGGGCCAGATGGACCCTTGGCTTAGTCCCAAATGGCCGTTCTTATGTAAATATATATAAGAACTGAACGCAAAACTTTCCTGAGCTCCCTTCTACTCCTGCGTTATGTTCCACACTAGCTATCACACAGCACGCTAGCGGCAAAATCAGGAGCAGAACCCCGGAGGCCTGACCCCAAGTCTGCACGCTCCTCAGCTAGAACTCACCACCTTCCTAAGGACCTAAGAGCTGACACACTGGGTCAGACCAATGGCTCAGCTGCCCAGCATCTGGTCTCCAGCAGTGGCCAATACCAAAGCTTCAGGGACATTGATCTGAATAGGGCAATTAAGAAGTGATCCCTCTCCCCCCCTTCTACTCTCAAACTTCTAACAGCCAGTGGTGTAGGTACACCCAGATCATGGGACTGCGGCCCTGTTATTCTCCACAAATGTATCCAGCTCTTTTTTGAACCCAGTGGCCAGCACATCCCCCAGAGAGGCCAAGCAGGAGTAAAGCCATACGCCCGTGGTGTCCAACCAGTTCTGAATTAGCCACATTATTCTGAAAATGTAAATTATATAGTGGCTACTGCTATAGACAACTAACCACACTCAACCGGCCAAACAGCCACATGTGGCTAGTGGCTGGACACCACGGCCTTACGCAATGTGATCTAGCGCCCACCCGAAGTGCAGCTATCTCGGAGAAAAGGAGCAAGCAGCAAGAGGCACAGGAGGGCAGCCCAATAAAAGCATACACCAAAGGGAAGATGGTTAAAAGACCAAAAAGAGCAGAAGCAGAAGTAGTCAGGACTGGAGAAAACCCATAATCCACACTATGGGATACAGTCACGTGGCTTTCCACCCACTGCCTCGGAGCGGTTCTAATCTCACGTCTTACCTGTGCAGGGGTCTGGCGGGATCTCTCTCTCTTTTAAACACTGCTGATCTTGGACACACGGCTCTTCCCCCCGTTCGATGCGGGGCTCAGGGGCCTCTTTGGAGCGGGAACGGTCTGTGGCGAGACAAGACATCAGGGCAACCCACGGTTTCATTTGACACCTTTCACTGATTTAAAGCCAACCCCCCTTCATCACCAGAGCTTGGCAGCAAAAGCTATTGACAAAGACCCGGTGGGGAGCTAAAGCATTCAGGGGAAGGTGAGCTGCGCTCTGAAGTCAGAGATCATCACGGGGAGACGAGCTTATGGTCCAGCTAAGCCACTCACCTACTATAAAACTACAGGGGCTTAAGCCAGGCCAAGGCAGGGCAGCCAACACCCGCCCGTACGAAGCAGAATTTTCATCACTGCCATGCTGAACATACACATGTACAGATCACCACGGGGCCAACTTTAGCCCTGCCAACAAGCACCACTGCAGATAGAACGAGCCCTGGCGATGGATGGATTGGACCCACAACAGAGTAGGGGAGTCTTTCCCATTAAATCTTAAATCCACACACCTTCCCATTTAATCAGAGGTGCTGATTACCCCATTGGGCCAGAGAGATGGGTGGGCCAGCTCTGTGCTCTGGAAAGGGGCGGGGCCTCAGGCAGAAGGGGTGGAGCCAGGGCAGCAGGGTGCCACGCCAGCCCCCCACAAGCTTCCAGTGCCCAGAGCAGGGCAAACCCCTCTCCTTCGACCTTAGGCTGCCTGCAGCAATTTAAAGGGCCCAGGGTGTTACTGCTGCCACCACAGCAGCAGCGCCTGGGAACTCTGGCCCGTTGTCCCCTTCCCTCCCCCATCAGCGGGTCTGGGTTTAATTGCTAATCTTCTGGAGAGTATAACCACCGCTCCAGCTGTGACAAAAAGGGGTTCTGCCCCCGCACGTCACAGATCCATGCTCCTTCCGGGACGCGAGCGAGAACAAATCTTTACCCAGGGAGCTCAGAGATTCGTAGTTCTCCTTCATCAGGTTATTGTACAGCTCCTTCTGCCAATCTTCCAAATTCTTCCACTCCTCCGCCGAGAAATAGACAGCCACGTCCACAAACGTCACCGGCATCTGCAATCACACGCGTGGGGGAGGTCAGGGGCATCACCCCGTGTCATACAGGAGTTCAGAGCGGACAATCGCAACGGGCCCTAACAGGCTATCTGTGTACGCTGGCCGTCCCAATCCAACGCCCAGGGAACTGCACCCACACAGCCAAAATCACCATTCCTTTCGGGGCCCTTGGTTGGCAGGCCCAACTGGCCATGGAGACTGAACTGCTCTAGTTCAAAGGTCCTTCCAGGGGAGGGTTGCAGTCCGGTGGAGGGAAGCTCAGAGTACAGCTGGCTTTGGTCTCCGGGGGCCACCAGCCAACACCTTCCCCCGACACCAATATCATGCACAGGAAAGAAAGCGGAGTTACACTGACCCCCCGTGTTATCCAGCATTCCCCCGCCTCCCTCCCAGCCACTCCATGGCAGGGACCTGCGCATCCTGTGGGCATTACAGAGCATTTCAGCACCGGCTTCTACCCTCGGAGCACTAGCTAGGGTAGCTTTACCTTGGGAACTTCCCCCTTTGTGCCAGGGGGGAGTCTCAGGACCCAGAAGTTCCTGTTCTTCAGCAGGTTCTCCACGTTCTCCAGCCGCCGCTGCAGCAGCCCGTACTCCTGGATCAGAGACCCTAGCACGGCCCACTTGCTCTCCAGCTGGTTATTGAACTCCATTGCTGTTTTTTCACAGTCTATTAATTTCTTCTCGGCAGTCCCCGATCGCCCCTCCAGGCTCAGCAGGCGCGTGGCCAGCAAATCGATCTTCCTCTCCATGGCCTGCACCGTCGCCACCACCGTCCAGAGCGAGGCCTCTGCTGTGTGCAGCTGAGCTTCTCTCATGTGAGCTCGCTCAGGGACAAGCGGGGGCTGCAAAGGCAGCAAATGTTGTGCCTCGACGTTCCATTCCTGGATCTGTTTGCAGGGGGAGAGAGAGAGAGAGAGAGAGAGACTGGCTGAAGCCACGTTTGTTCCGTGGTAAAAGCGCTAAAGGCTCAGGGAGGGCGCAGATCAGAATCCCAAACGCTCCCATGTCTCTCTGAACCTCACTCGCAGGGAACAGGCCTGGATTTCTCAGGGTCTCATGCTCTCGCCTGCCAACTCCAGTGGATCCCATCTCCAGCCAGTCTAGAAACGCACAGTCATCCTTACTCCTTCCCCCCAGCACTGTATTTCACAACCCAGGCTTCTAACCCTAATTGGAAAGCAAGTGCAGAAGTGGCAAAAATCCACAGGCCAAAAGGAGAAGAGCAAAGTAGGTCAGTTCCTATTGTAGCCATTTCCTTCTCTCACAACAACAGAGGAATGTCCAGCCAGGCCGGGCAAGCCGAGGAAGAGAATATGATCCAAGATAGGAAGGGAACATGTGCCGGGGAGACAGAAATTAGCTCCAGTCACCACAAACTAAGTGCACAGCACTCAAGAGGCATCAGAGCAAAACACCTCCTTGGTCATACACCGCCACCTGGATAATGGACACGTATCACCCTGTGCTCGTTTTTTTCAGTGGTGCCTGAGTATTTGGATCATACTTATCAGTGGGGTAGCTGGAAGAGGCACCTCTTCCCAGGAACACCAGTTACAATTGGATCCCATGCCCACTGAAATCAACAGGAATCTTTCCATTCATTGTTGTCACAGCAGGGCTTAGAAAGCCTAACCGAGGATCAAGGCCGTGTAGTGGGAAATGCTGCACAGAAAAATGACAAGAGACTTTGTTCCACAGAGCTCACAATCTGCAGGTCAGGGACAGGACACAACAGAGGGACTAAGTGAATGAGGAGGGGGCAGGTTCGCAGGACGAGGGCAACAAAGAGCAAAAGAGTTTAGCAGAAAAATAGAAGTCAGAAGATTGGCCAGACTGGGTCAGATCAAAGGCCCATCTAGCCCAGTATCCTGTCTGCTGACAGTGGCCAATGCCAGGTGCCCAAGAGGAAAAGAACAGAACGGGTAACCATCAACTGATCCATTCCCTGCCACCCATTCCCAGTCCTGACAGAGGCTAGGGACATCATTCCTTCCCCTCCTAGCTAATAGCCGGGGATGGATCTATCCTCCATGACTTTACCTAGCTCTTTTTTTAACCCTATTAAAGACCTGGCCTTCACAACATCCTCTGGCAAGGAGTTCCACAGGTTGATGGTGTGTCGTATTGAAGAAATTATTCCTTTTGTTTGTTTTAAACCTGCTACCTATTAATTTTATTTGGTGTCCCCTAGTTCTTGTGTTATGGAAGCAATAAATACCTTTTCCTTATTTACTTTCTCCCCACCAGCTATGGTTTTATAGTCTCTGGACTCTAAATGGCTTTGGGCTGACCTTTCACATCCAGTAGGAATGAATAGCCAAATTTTCATCATAGCAAATGGTGAGGAGTCAGATGCCCAAAGGATCTGTACAGGGATCAGTGATTAATATATTTACTAAGTGGGAAGTAGGGGATGAATCTGATGATGGCAAAAAGTAATTCAGGTTAGTCAGGACTAAAGACGACTGAGGCCAGGTCTACACTTAAGGGAAAGGTAGAATCAAGACACGCAATTCCAGCTATGTTAATTATGTAGCTCGAATTGATGTACCTTGATTTGAGTTACCCTGCTATCCTTTACTCTCTGCAGGAACAGGAGTAACGGCCATAGACAGGGTGCCCTCTGAGATCGATTTAGCGGGTCTTAACTAGACCTGCCAAATCAAACTCTGGAAGATCAAACATGGCACTGTTGATCTTCCCTGGGGAGAAGACATGGCCTGAGGAACTTGAGTGTGACCTTTCAGGCTAAATGGATGAGCAGTACAAGCGCAAATGAAATTCCATGCTGACAAACACAACATGACTCACACTGGAAGATGTATTTTGAGCTTCCCAGACTAGCTGTGTGTGATTCAAACTTCAGTCAACAAATCAATGTACAGCTGTGGTCAGAAAAAGTAAACAAAGTGACAGATGCATGCACAGCAGGACAAAAAACAATACCGAACGATCTCAGAGGGGTAGCCGTGTTAGTCTGTATCTGCAAAACAACATGGTGTCCTGTGGTACCTTAGAGACTAAGGGGACGTCTACACTGCATGACTATTTTGGGATACCGGAAATATCCTGAAATAACTACCCCGTGTCTTAACAAGCTGCTCGTTAAGTCAAATATTTGTTTAAATAACGGGCACGTTTTTTCGGCATCCCTGTAACCCTCGTTCCACAAGGGTTAAGGGATGTCTCGAAATAGTGCGTTATTTCGAAATTTGGTGCTGTGTAGACATGCTAAATTTCAAAATAAGCTATCTTGAAATAGAATAGAAATAAGATACGTAATTTGTACAGCGCAAATTGCATATCTTATTTCGAATTTAGGGTGCTATTAGGGGATAAGCGTTTGTAGGTAAAACCTACTTCTTCAGATGAATTGGGGTGGAGTTTACAGAGGCAGGTTATTATTCCAGCCTGAATTTTTAAACATTCTTCTCCCTCTTTCCCACTGGAAAATGTTGATTTGTCTAACCTGAAATTTTTCACAGAAGTGGATCAGTTTTGATTAAATTTTTGCCAGGTAGATTTCACGGGTCTAACATGGAATTTCTAGTCCAAACCAAACTTCTCATTCCAACATTTAGGACACTCATCCGAGCAGCAGGTAAGCAGGCCCCTCACACTTCACTAAAGGATAGAGCCCTGCAAATCGGCAGATAGCCACTTTATATCGCTAAGTATCTGCACCCTCGGATGTGAATATCCGCAGCTCATTTTGGGGGATGCAGATACAAATTTTGTATCTAGAACCCTTCAAATTTGAGAATATCCACTTTACATCTGAAGTTACCTGCATCCACGAATGTGGATGTAGAGATCCACAGATCATTTTTGCAGCTGCAGATACCAATTTTGCTTAAACATCTATCTCCTGGGACTGTGCAGGGTTCTACCAATAGGCTACAGACTATTCTAGAGGGAATTTTTCATGGGAAAAAAAAAATCAGAAGTCCCTGGTTTCCCGCTGAGCAGAATGAAAATAAATTCAGAAACCTCAAATGTTTTTGCAAACTTGAATGTGTGTTTTCTTTCAGCTCTGAACTGGTGTTTACACCATCATACAAGTCAATGAGATGCTCTCAGCTGACTCCTGGGGTCAGCTCTAATCATTCTTTTGGTAGGGGGGGGATCAGAGATGGAGAACAAGAGCTTAAGAAGCCTGAAAAAGACTTCCTTATGGGAAGAGATTGAAAAACCTGGGAATGGTTAGTTTAGAGCGGGGTGGATAATCCAGGATTTACCTGGATCTGGACCCTGAAAGCTCAGGGCTCCCCACCCCCCGCACTGGGGAGTCCATACAGACACTCCAGTCCTCCCACCATGCCTCCATGGGGCTGGAGCACACAGAATCTACTAGCCTGGGTCCTACTAGGTGGGCAATAATTTTTTCAGGAGGGGGGCACTTAATAAATGTTGGTACATGGTCCTGGGTTGGCTCCACCCCTCTAACCTCCCAGATGGGGCAGAGATGAGGGTGGAAGGAGTGGGGATGCAGACTAACCTCCCTCCAGAGCTGTCTGTGACTGGAGGCATAAGAACGGCCGTACTGGGTCAGACCAAAGGTCCATCTAGCCCAGTATCCTGTCTGCTGACAGTGGCCAGCACCAGATGCCCCAGAGGGGGTGGACCGAAGACAATGATCATGCGATTTGTCTCGTGCAGTCCGTCTCCAGCCTCTGACAAACAGAGGCCAGGGACACCAATTCTACCCTCAGGCTAATAGCCTTTTATGGACCTAACCTCCATGAATTTATCTAGCTTCTCTTTAAACTCTATTATAGTCCTACCCTTCACAGCCTCCTCTGGCAAGGAGTTCCACAGGTTGACTACATGCTGTGTGAAGAAGCACTTTCGCTTATTAGTTTTAAACCTGCTACTCATTAATTCTGTTATAGTTCTAGCCTTCAGAGCCTCCTGCAGCAAGGAGTTCCACAGGTTGACTATTTGCTTTGTGAAGAACAACTTTCGCTTATTAGTTTTAAACCTGCTACTCATTAATTTCATTTGGTGTCCTCTAGTCCCTATTTTATAGGAACTAATGATTAACTTTTCTTTATTCAATGAAGAATAAAGGCTTCGAAGTAAACACACAGCAAAAGGCTCTCGGCTCTTAGCCCTGCTCTGGAGTTGCTGCAGCTATTTAAAGGGCTCGCGGCTCCAGCCCCTGCCAGGGTAGCGCTCAACGTGTCCAGACTTTATTTCCAACAGGCTGCCTCAGACCATTTCACCCTACATGCCATGACCAGGAGTTGGGAGCCATTTAAATAGGATCCCACTGCCAGAGCCACTGCCTGGATATTCGGTGGCACCGGCAGCAGGATATACATTGAAAGGGGGCAGAGGCAGCTCGTGGGCCAGATCAAAGTGTTGGGTAGGCCGCATCCAGCCCCCAGGCCGCATCTTGCTCAGCCCAGCCCTGCCCTCGGTTCTGGTGTGCGAGGGGAAGATGGGGAGCGTCTTTCGCCTTCTCTGTCGGGTGCAGGTTTGGTTTTCTTTTCTTTTTGCTTCTTCTTTACGCGCAGCCCCCGGCTGATTGTTCTGTGGCTCAGCGGCCCCAACCCAAAAAAGGTTCCCCGCCCCGAGGAAGCGGAAAACGATACCGCTCTCCGGAGCGGAGGCTGGTCTAGAGCCAGGCCATCCGCAGCCCCGTCCCCCTTCGCTCAGAGCTGCAGAGCAAGGGGATAGTCCAGCCAAGTGGCTTCGAACAAGCAAAACTGCCCTTTGCCTGCAGGACTGGCTGCCCCAGAGCTGCAGAGCAAGGGGATAGTCCAGCCAAGTGGCTTCGAACAAGCAAAACTGCCCTTTGCCTGCAGGACTGGCTGCCCCCCCCGGGGCGCGCAGCCCAGAGCCCCAGCACGGAGGGGCGCGGATCCGCACAGGGATGGACCGGGAGAGCCCCCAGAGGAGGCAGGACACGTCCAAGGACTCCTGCTTCCAGG